TAATACTCCCTACAACTGTACAACTCACCTTATGTAACAGATAATACTCCCTACAACTGTACAACTCACCTTATGTAACAGATAATACTCCCTACAACTGTACAACTAACTCACTCTTATGTAACAGATAATACTCCCTACAACTGTACAACTCACTCTTATGTAACAGATAATACTCCCTACAACTGTACAACTCACCTTATGTAACAGATAATACTCCCTACAACTGTACAAACTCACCTTACGTAACAGATAATACTCCCTACAATTGTACAACTCACCTTATGTAACAGATAATACTCCTTACAACTGTATAACTCACTTTATGTAACAGATAATACTCCCTACAACTGTACAATAACTCTACCTTATGTAACAGATAATACTCCCTACAACTGTACAATAACTCTCCCTTATGTAACAGATAATACTCCCTACAACTGTACAACGTTTTGCATAAAGCTGTGATTTTTATATTTTGTTACTTATATTTTTATTTTATTTTGACTTGTACATTTATATTTATATAATTATGTCTTTTTTTTTTTTTTTCTACTGCTAAATTATTATTATTGTTAATTTTTTTTTTGGTCTTTATTATATTTTATTGTGATGTGTGACTCGTGTGTCCAAATAATTTCCCTTGTGGATCAATAAACTTTGTCTAAATCTCAATCTAAGGACACAAAAACAGTGTTTATTTGTTTTTTGCTGAATTGGCATCACCGACCTGTGGCAGAAATCGGGAAATTCCAGTGTTGCAACGCACAGTTTAAGAGCAAGAGCAACAGAAATGGGCTCTCAAAACTCAAGATCAATAAATATTAGAACAGAACCAACGTCATCGTGAATATTCAAAACTTTCTGAGGTGAAGAACCAGACACAGAGACGCTCACAGATCAGTAGATAAATAAAACTTTAAAATATTATAATCAGAATCAAATGTATTTTCTTCTAAAAGTTTCCAGCTGGTGAAACTGACCTGATAAAAAATGTGTAAATCAATATAGAAACCAAAATTAGATATTCACCCTTTAAGGACCGAGGACATTAGTGACGTCAGCGCGCACTTTGACTTTTTTTTTTTTTTTTTTTTAATCAATAAAAATCATGTTAAAGGAGATATCGACATTTTATTTTTGCCTCTTTTTCACAAAACCACCTCTGTTTTACACATCCAGTTTTATTTTTACTCAGATGTTCAAAATACATGTAATTTCTGTTTGTCAAATCCGTGAAACATTCGAATAACCACATATTTTTATTAATATAAACTTTCAAAACTGTATAAACTTTTATTTTGACCAGTTTTCACTTCACGGATCACAAATCAAAAACCGAGAACCGTTACTTTTCACAAACGAGCTTCGACAAAGTGAAACCTGTGACGTTTAAATCATAAAACTATAATAAAAATCGTGGTTTAAATTCAGATTTTAAATAAACGGCTGTAAAATCAAACCGGACCTGGCAACGCGCCGGGGCCGTGACGTCATGACGTAGGGAAGTCCAACCGGAAGACGGAGCAGTGTTTTGTTTATTTTATTATTTACATATAACAGTTTTAGTTAAATGTGTCGATTCGTTTGGTATCAATTACTAATTTATTGATCAATTACAATTTTTTACACAATTAAAGATGAATCCGTCTCAACATTACGGACTAAAGCCTCAAATTTGACGTATTATCGGGTTTTACGAGCACTTTAAGTATTAATTATTTATAACATTTATATTTCCTGATTTTTCTGTTTTTTTTTCTGAAAGCTTTTCGAGTTTTACCGTGAAGGCTCCGGAGTGCAGTACCCCGTGTTGTCCGGCAGAGGGCGCGGTTCGGTTTGTTATTGACTTGACCACGTGAACGCGCACAAAGGTGGGTCAGTGTCGCGCGCGCTCGGGGCCCACGTGCGTGCGTCGGAGCGTGTCTAACCGCGCTTCAAAATAGAACGGACGGGGCACGAGGACGGGACCCGGCCGTTTCCATGGAGACGTTCACGCTCCGCTTGCAAATGCCCCGCAGTGCCGCATTACACTTGCGTCTCGTAGTTACGCAAAGGTGCACTGTGGAACTTTTCTGGCGGTGGGTCTGCGATCTGCTGGTCTCTATGGAGATGCTTTTTACGCTGGAATGTCTCGGTGTGGCATTAAACGTATTCATCATGCACGAATAACGTTTTTTTTTTACTTCAAAACTATTTTACTGTGAGTGGTCTCGCCTCTCCACAGATCTGACATGTAACTTAGTCCTACGGCATCACCCGCTGTCTCCGTAGAGATACATAAGTGTAATGTCATACTGTGGAACATTCCAGACAACAAAACAAAAGCTACTCAGTGCAGCTTTAAATCCGGGTTGACAAAAGTCTCAAAAATCAAATACAGATCGAGCCTAAATGTTTTCATCTTAAAACTTTGACAGCATTTGCAAATGTGTGTATCATGTCTCCGCGGCAACTGCTGAACGTTCCACCATAGAGATACATGTAGTACACGCCCATTGTGATGTCACTGCAAAAGCATCGATTCCCCGGTTTCAGGATATAACCGCAAAAACTTGGAGGGTTAAAATTTCAGAGTTGTTTTTAACACAAAAAGTGTCATTTTAACTATTTGAAAGTTAAATGAGGGTTTGAGTTGAGGTTATTTGCCAGAGTTGATACGGATAAAGTTAATTTAACCTTTTAATCAACTTCCTCTAGTGTTAATTCATCTCCCCTTAGTGTAAATTCAACTTTTTAGTGTTAATTCAACTTTTTAGTGTTAATTCAACTTCCTCTAGTGTTAATTCAACTTCTCCTTAGTGTTAATTTGTCTCCTCTCACCACTTCAAACTCCCGTGAGAGTAGAACCAGTTTGAACCAGTTTTGTTCATAATTTCATCTTAAATTAACTCAAATAAAGTGTAAAAATAAAACCCCTCTGTGTGTTGTTTAGTTAAATCAGGATAACTCTACAAAGTGTTATCTGTTTACTCTCAAAACATTCATATAACTCTTGATTTCAGGGTTAAAAACGGGAACTTTGGTCCAGTGTTACTTAATGAACATTTCCAAAAGTGTTAAATTAACTCTAGATCAGATTGGACTCAGATCAACTCTGAGAAAATGTTAAAATTGACTCTCTGAGAGTTGATTTTAACACTCTGATAAATGTTCACGGCTCTGAAGTGCTGGAAAATCCCGTCCTCAGAACCTCTTTTTGGGTCAGAACCAAGGACCGTACAGACTTTTTTAAACAGTCTACGGTCGGAACATCCCGGAAAACATCTCAGAACCAGTTTTTTTGGTGTTGTTTCTTTTTGGCGGAGACTTTTTTTTTTTTGCACAAAATGTTGACAGGTTCCCACTCTTTTTCACTGACAAAATTTCAAAACTTTTCCATGACTTTTTCATGTCCTAAAGTGAATTTTCCATGACTTTACAGCTCCTGCATGTGTAGAACTGATCAGACTTTTAGGTTCTAAATCTGAAATGTTTAACTCTTTCCACTCACATTATGGTTTGGGATTATAGTTTTTGAACATTTAAAATTCTGTCAGTGCTTTTATTGTCGTCTCTTTGAAACAAACGACGTTCAGAAATAATCAAAACAGACTCATGAGAACTTGACTGGAACGTTGTAGTGTAGTGTGAAAGAGATACTAAACTTCCATGACTTTACCAGACCTGAAAAACGACTTTTTCAATTTCCATGACCGTGGGAACCCTGATCAGAGCCTCGTTTTCACTCACAAACTTCAAAAAGCCCCAAAACTCACCTGTTACTGCATCTCCACTTTATCTGTTTCTTTTATTTGTGTTTGTTCTGATCTGTGTGAAGCGTCTTTGAGTGTCGTGAACAGTGACATACAAGTGTTAAGGGTTTTTTTGTTTGTTTGGGGTTTTTGTAGGTTTTACAGTCCAGAGTTTTTAAGAGTCCAGGTTTGAGTCAAGTTTTTTTTTTTTAATATAGTGTTGAGGTGTGAGTCCCAGGTTTTAGGTCCAGGTTTTGAGTCCCAGGTTCAAGTCCAGTTTTTTTTTTTTGAAGTTTGAGTTCCAGGTTTTCAGAGTCCAGGTTTGAGTCAAGTTTTAGAGTCTTTTTTTTATATAGTGTTCAGGTTTGAGTTCAGGTTTGAGTTCAGGTTTTAGAGTCCACTTTCAAGTCTCGAGCCAGTTTTCTTTTATATAGAGTCCACGTTTTAGAGTCCAGGTTTTAGAGGTTTTAGAGCCAGTTTTCTTTTATTAGAGTCCAGGTTTTAGAGTCCAGGTTTTAGAGGCCACATTCGCGTCTCAAGTCCAGTTTTTTTTAATATAGAATCTACTTTTTAGAGTCCACGTTTTAGAGTCCCGTTTTAGAGTCCAGGTTTTAGAGGCCAGTTTTCTTTTATTTAGAGTCCAGGTTTTAGAGGCCACGTTTTAGCGGCCACATTTTAGAGTCCACGTTTTAGAGTCCACGTTTTAGAGTCCTCGTTTTAGCAGCCACATTTTAGAGTCCACTTTCAAGTCTCGAGCCAGTTTTCTTTTATATCAGAGTCCAGGTTTTAGAGTCCAGGTTTTAGAGGCCAGTTTTCTTTTATTTAGAGTCCACTTTTTAGAGTCCACGTTTCAGAGGCCACTTTCGAGTCTCGAGTCCAGTTTTCTTTTATATAAAGTTCACGTTTCACAGTCCACATTTTAGAGTTGAGTCCACATTTTAGAGTCCACGTTTTAGAGTCCTCATTTTCCTTTATATAGAGTCCACATTTTAGAGTCCACATTTAGAGTAAACATTTTAGAGTCCACGTTTCAGAGTCCATGTTTTTTTATATACAGCGTTTTTCCACCTTCAAATCTCTTTTCATCCAGGAACCACTCACCCGTTCACACACTCGTACCAGAGATGGCTGAAGTGTCTTGCCCAAGGACACAACCACAACACTCATCTGACCTCCGGAGCAGCGGGCAAAAAAAAACTCTGAAAATAAACCGACTGAACACAAAACGAACACAAAGTTTACGGAGTCAAAAGAAACGAGCAGAAATAACGTTTAACTTATGGTTTAGTTTTTGAATAAAAAAAAAACATACACACTTTTTTTTTTTTTTTTTTTTTTTTTTTTTTTAAGGCAAACGAAGCATAAATAAAGCTGTAACTGTCCTGGTTCTACTGCAGATTTTAATGCTGAAAAACTCCACAGAAGCAATGGACGCTTTCACTTACAAACGAACTTCTGGAATTCTTAATATTTCTACATGTTCTTCTTAAATTAACGGAGGAGGACGAGAACGAGGAGGAAGAAGAGTTGGAGGAGGAAGAGGAGGAGGAGGAGGAGGAGGAGCACAGTGAGTGAACGTGAAATGGCGTCAGAGTTTATGTTTAGTATAAAGTTTGGTGAGTTCGTGGAGGTTCTGGAGGAATGCTGAGGGCTTTCAGAGAGGAGACGAGCCGGGTTCTTGGATCTCGGGTTCCTCGGAGGATCCCGGGGCGGAGTCGAGGCTCTGCGGGTTCTCCTGGTGGTTCTGGGTTCTGGGTCTGGTTCTGGTTCTGGTTCTGCTGTTGTTGTTGTTGTTGTTGGGTTTGGAGTCTTAAAATGAGCTCCTTTATCTCCTCGCGTTTCGTCTTCATCCTCTGAGGCGGGAACCAGTCCGATAAGTTCAGAGGCAACGTGAAACTGGGAATGGGGTTCTGGAAAAGACACAGAGAGAGGGGGAGTTGGTTTAGTCCAGGTTTGAGTCCCAGGTTTGAGTCCCAGGTTTAGTCCCAGGTTTTACTCCCTTTAGTCCCTGATTTAGTCCCTGGTTTAGTCCAGGTTCTAGAAACTGGTTTAGCCCCAAAGTTTTAGTCCACAAGTTCAGCCCTGGTTCAGTCCGTGGTTTCAGTTCCAAGTTCAGTCCCAATTTTTAGTTCTGATTTAATCCCTGGTTTAGTGCCAGGGTTTAGTCCATAGTTTAGTCCACAGTTTAGTTCCTGCTGTAGTCCCAATTTTTAGTCCCAGGTTCAGTCCCTGGTTCAGTCCAGGTTTTAGACCCATTTTAGTACCAGGTTCTGTCCCAGTTTTAAGCCCTGGTTCAGTCCTTGAAGTGTCTCAGTTTTTCGCTGTTGTCATGATTTCAAATCTTTTATTGTAATTAATCTGTGAGTGTATTTTATTCTCAGGTGGATTCTCGTTCTCGTGTCGTCACTCGGTCCAGTCGTGTCTGAGCTGAACTTTTTAAACTTTTTAAACAGAACCTTCTCACAGACTTCAGCGTTTGTTGTTCACGTCTTGACTCTCACTGAGGCTGCGGCGCCTTTTCCAAACACCAGAGGGCAGTGTCCCCCCCCCTCCCCTCTCAGCTCGTTTTACTCCTGACACACTGACCTCGTTTCTGTGGACAACTACAACGCATCAGGACCAAAATATGATAGAAAGAAGGTGGATTTGTGTATAAATCGATGTCTGTGTGTGTCTCATATCTGTATCCTGTGGACAGAGTTAACCTGCTGAGGTCCAAACAGGAAGTGAGCATGGGTGAGATTCGGCTCCATCGACTCTGGCTCCAGTTCATTTTTTATGTGTCCCTTCTTTCTGTACCTGCTGCTGTCGGGCTCCTCACTCTGAACCTCCTGTACATGATTCTGGGGTTTTTATTTCACTATTTTGTCCCTAAATCACTGCTTCTCAATTATTTTCTGTGAAGTCCCCCCCAGGAAGAAAAAAAAAACATTTCGCCCCCCTCCACTCTCCGCTGCGACTATTGGTGGATTTCAGATGATATCACAGTATTCTAAAGGCCAATACTGTGTAATATAGATGGGGGCAGCTAAAAATAATATTGTTCAACTGAAGATTTAATAAAGCACGATCTTGGCTCTAGTCAATAATAGAAATGATCAGGTTCCATTATTTGGAAATTTACCTTTCCGATATTTCTTGGTAATCTACAAAAATAATTAACAGGAAAAAGTGTCGTCTCAGACAGAGGGACAGAGACATCACCACATTCTAGAATCTGAAAACCACCAATAAACAGTATCATTAGTATTCACAAAGCGGGATGATTTTTGGTAATATTTGTCATGTTTTCACGGGAAAAACTCAAGCGTTTTATCAGCGTGACTGGGGTGCAGTGTCTTTAAGCGACGCCTTAGTTCAGGGGTGTCAAACTCATTTTGGTCCGGGGGCCGTATCCAATCTACTTTGATCCCAAAGGGGCCGGATCAGAAAACTCATATAAACCCCAAAAATAACAATAAGTTCAAATATTTGTGCAGAGAAACGCAAATCTATTACAGAAATCTTTTTTAATTGATGAACTCTTTCTTATTATAATATTATAATATTATGAACAACCTGAAACTTGAAGAAAAATTCAATTTCAACACAATGTTTTAACATTAACTTGTCTGTAAACAGGAATAAGTCAGTTTTTGTTGTAAAATCCTGCACTCGGCTCCACTTTTCTCATGTTGGACATTTTTCTGATGAGGGTGTCACGGTCAACAGTCAAAACGATCGTCCTTTAAGAGCGTTTGGAAAGAGACACGTCTTCATTTGTGCTGCTCTGGTGGGAGGGGCCACGTACAGAGACGCTGGAGATGCTGCTATGCTAAGCACCG